AAGGAGAAAAAAATAAGGTAATGAAGATGGCATTAAATAAGCCATTCTATTTCTGTCATTAGTAGATTTTGGCATACGGCAAAGCCTTTCAATGGTGCCATTACAAAAACCTCTGAAATGCTTTTCAAGATTTATTGTCCAAATCTTTAAAAATAACAATAATCATGGAGATGTTCCTTTATTATCCAACACAGGATGTAACAGCTAAGTGAAGAAGCAAAGTACTTCAGCTATTACTACATGGCTTAAGAACCTTAAAAAATCCAAAATACAGGGAAGTCAAAAGTGAAAACAAAGGCAAAGAAGATCCCTAAACTCAAGGGTGCTCTAATCCCATTTTTCTACAAGGCACAAAGCATGTGGACTTGAACTCATGAATGCTATAAATGCATCTGCTAAGTAGCATGAGTGTGCGAAACAGGCACAGGCAGGTACGTGCTGGAAGATCTAAAGGTTTGATGGAGAGAAGTGGGTGGGAGTAATAAGGGAGGTGTGGGGCAAAGTAGGACAAGGTATAGGGGCCCTGAGGGCAGAAGGAAGAAGTTCCCCAGAAGCCAGAAGGCTATACTTGAACAGGGAGGTGGGCGGAGTCAAGGAGAAAGTGGGCCTGGAGAGGAGGTTAAATATTGGACAAGATGATTCAAACATAAAATACCCAAGTCCTGCTGGCAAAAGAAGGTGGAGGGATAAGAAGCAGGAGGCTCTATGGGTGAAAATCTGTGGGACAGAAAGCCATGTTAAAGCTCCAGGAAGGACTAGAGGGTGAAAGGGACATTTGGCAAAGGAATAAAGTTAAAAACAGCCTGGAGAGAGAGAGAACGGATATAGGGGCAGATCCACGGGAACGCCAGGAGCCTGGTGAGCTCCCTGCATGAGACAGGTCTCCACTCTCCTCACATTAAGTGATTTTAGAGAGAGTAGCAGTGACTATCGATTACCGCCTCCCTTGGGAAAACCTAATAAACCAAGAGCTGGGGCTACCTGAACCTTCCCAGACCCCTCTCTCTAACTTGTGTCTGGAATTCCAGTATGGGACACCCGAGTGCTAGGGCTGCGGCACAAAGTTCAGTAAGACAAGGCACGTGTGAGTTCTCTGGAAACCATAACGCACCATATCCATATGAGGAATCGTTACTCACGGAATCCCTTGGACTAAAAAGATAAAGACCAAAGTCATAAGTCAACACTCATGAGTGAAGAAATATTTGTCAAAGATGGATACTACATATAATCCCAATCAAGATCCCCCCAGGTAGAAATTCCAGTAATTTCAGGGGACATTACGCCTCGTATGTTTACTTGACTGTCCAGTATTCTTCAACAATGAAAAACGCTATCCAACCCTTGTGCCTGGGTGGCTCAGTGGGTTAAGCCTCTGCCTTCGGCTCAGGTCATGATCTCAGGCTCCTGGGATGAAGTCCCGCATAAGGCTCCCTACTCAGCAGAGAGCCTGCTTCCCCCTCTCTCTCTGCCTGCCTCTCTGCCTACTTGTGATCTCTCTCTCTCTGTGTCAAATAAATAAATAAAGTCTTTAAAAAAAAAAAAAAAAAAACCCTATCCCAGGCAGAATATGGAGCTCTTAATAAGCTATCGTACTGACTTACTGAAATGGAAGTCCGTGGCTAATGTATTTCCAAGGAGTTTTTTTCTGACACATTACAGACCTTAACTAATTAGGTTAATTCAATTTAATTCAATCACTCACTGAGTAACTTCCAAGTACAAGGTAGTGTGTGGGCTACTGCAGGGCTTGCAAAGATGACCCAAACCGCTTGCCTTCTAGTCGCCTGGCCAATTCATCTTCTCAGTTTCTATTGTAGATCAGAGGGGAGCTACCTCCCCTTTCCACAAGTGGAGACAGAAGGCAGTCTTTACATTCTGTGCCTGGCCTACAACCCAGGAAATACATTTTCCAGGAACACATTTCATTGCAAAAAATAAAAAAAGTCAAGGAACTTCTTAATGCCTGCTGACGGAGGACGCTGTTGGGTGCTCATTTCTGTGTTCATCCTAGCCCAGCTTACATCCAACCGCTCTTGTCATGATTGCATAACCACAGCATGTCAAGTTGTTTCTTGTTACAACTGTAACTTGTAAAATTAAACTTCAGAACTGAGATAGGCAAGCTAAATAATTGCCTACTTTAAAAATATGTATATGTGTAATTTGCATGCCACTTTAGATAACCCCTTGAATTATGAGCTCTTAAAGTCACAACTGTCACCAATTTCTAAAATAGTTTCAATGTTGCAATTCCCCCTGCAGACAGGCCCTATCCCTGCCTTCTCCGTGGTCTAAGCAATATGTTATACTAGCCTATTGCAATCTGCTTTTCGTGTTTTAACAAGAACTTAATTAATCACCACATTTACTTCTCCCATGCTATGGGACTTCTGACATTCCAAAGAAGGATCATAAAATGGCCCAAAATGCACTTGTGTGTGCCTCAGGTAGCACTAAGTGGTACTCATAAGTTAAAGAGAAGCTGGGGCTACTTATCACACTTAGGATCCCCCCACCACCCCGACGTGATCGAGTCCCTGCCCTCTCCTGCCTCTCTTGACCTCATGGGAGGTGCCATGACACTCCCTCTCTCAATCTGGGCTGTCTCACTCTGTGAGAGAAAACAGCCAGTAGAAGGGGGGCTGGCCGGGAAGAGCCTGGAGCAAGCCACTAGAACTGTAACAGTCAAGGCTCGCCTGATGGACAATTCCGCACAATGCTGAGGCACCATCTGCCTGGAAAGATACTCATAATTGGGCAAACCACCTTCCTCCTTGGTAGGATTTTTAATCAGGCACAGCAAGTAGTACCAATTAACGACCAAGCTCTTGATTTGCACCCTGTGATTCTTCAAGAAGCTCCAACCACTTCAAACAGTGGCCTATTAATTCCCAGAAATCCATGTGAGATGACAAAATGAGACAGGGAGAAAGGAGTGACGGATAAATTACTAGCCAAGAAAACAAAATGATCAGTTCTCTCCAAAGAGTTAAAATGAGTCAGTGCTGCAGAGGGAGGCTAGAACCTCAGGGTTCTTCCAGGATGAACTTTTAACGTTGGATAAAAAACCTCCATACCAACCAAGGCCATTTTTCTGAGGACCTATGATCCAAGGGAGGTAAGCCTGACCACAGGACCCCCACTCCTCCTAGGGCATTGGCTCATCCAAGAGCTAAGTTTGCTGGGTTTTGCTGCTTTGCCCAGTGGCCCTCCAGAACTGTTCTCTGAACCCTGTTTGCCTAGCTGGAAACCTGAGGGGAGGTGACATTTCAATGCTGCATTTTGTGATCAGCGAATAAGTGCTGGTCCCAGTAATGGTTTAATGCAGTTAAATACACTCAGATGTCCTATCACCAACACTTCCCACTTCACAAGGGGTAAAACAAAAATAGCTGATCATGTCTAAATTAATTTCCATGTCTGTTCAACTGTATTTCCTGAGAGCCAACACACAACATGTTCTATTGGTCCTACACTCGGGCTCTAGAAGTATGAAAAAGGGGGGGGACCCCCCAAACTGAGTATCTTGGACTGAAAAACCCTTCAAAAACATCATCTTCTCCCCACCCCCACCACCACCCCCAGGAGAGCTAAATAGCCCAGACCCACACTACCCATGATTTTCTTCTACCTTGGTACATTCCAACTCTACTAAACTAAAAGGTTATTATTAGGTGAAAGGTGAGTCTACCCCCTTGAATAGAGAGGTTTTCATAACATCTCTCTGCGTAATGAACATGCCACTTCCCCAAACAGTCCATACTGTTTCCTTAAAAAAAAAAAAAAAAAAAAGTGTTTCATGCAATCTGTGGTGCGTCAGCCCCCTCCCAACATCTGAGTCAGAGCATGTGTGTGTCCAACCAAGGTTCTGGACGATCAGGGTGTATCACTTTCAGAGTTACTCCAATAGCTGAACTTATGGCTCTCTTCCAGCCACACACAACATAAGCACCATCTATTTTAAAACAAATTTCCTAACCTACATGCGATGTAAGACACCTCATAGGGAGGTAGGTTTCCTCCTGAAACAAATCACTTCTATCCCCAACTGTATTTGTCATCACTCACGATTAAGGCATGTTTTGGGGGTATGTATTTTTTATCTTTGACCATGTAACTCCTGGAGCAAAAGAAAGCCTCCTCAAATGTGACCCTCGTGCCTGAGCCAATTCAGAGCTTTAGAAGAGGAATGAATGGGAGATGAGAGCCCTTAAGCCCAGGGACTTCTCTCACACAAACAGTAAGGGAGGGGGGATCCCTCCGTGGAGGGAGGAGGCAGGGTGGATGATCGGGGAAGGACATCAGCAGCAGGGCAAAGGCAGCCCTGGCGGCCGCACTTCGCGAACTGCCTGCAGAGGGGAGTGAGATCTTCTCCGTGTACAATACCCAAGCACCCTGTGCTGCCTCGCATGGGCACGAATAATAAACACGCCGAGGTGAGCAGACAGATGCACCGAGACCAGCCACCCCAAAAGGTCAAAACTTCAGAAATCCCGGGGATCCCAGCACCCACCCAAACACATCAATCAGTCGGAGCGGGAGAAGGGACTCGGGGACCTAACACAGGATTCTGAATTTTGTTGTTTCCTTCTAGATCTGGCTTGCAAAGTACGGTGGCTACAAGCACAGCTCGAGAGGAGCAGGCAGGCTGAGGGCGGCGGGGGGGTGGGGGTGGGAAGGGAGGGGTGTCTCACACCAGCCACCCAGGCCTCAATGTGACGAAAGTCGTCAGCAGCCCCAACCGCATCCCAGCCCCTCCGCCCCGGCGAGCAGACGCCCCCACCCCAGCTTCCGTCCCCGCACTAGCAGCAGCAGCTCCGGGCCCGGCCGCGAGCCGGCAGCGCCACCACCGCGGCTCCCATCCCTTCCGCGCGGCAGACTCCCCGCAGGCCTCCCTCCCAGCCCACCCGGGCTCGCCGGGGAGCCAAGCCGGAGAGCCGAGCCGCGGGCCGCGCCGCCCGCAACCCCCGCCCGAGGCCGGCGGGGGCCACGCTTACCTTGGGCGCTCGCGGGGGGGCTGAAGGTGGCAAGCCTCCCGCCCCCCGCCCCTTTCCTCCTCGCCTTTTCTCTTCCTCCCTCCTCTCCTCTTCCTTCGCCTCCCCACAGTGAGTCCGGGTGTCCCCCTCCTCCCCGCCGCTCCAAGTAGACGCCGAGAACCCCGGATCCCGGCCCGCGTGCGTGCGTGCGGGAGGCGACGGCGCGCGGCCAGCTCTCCAGTAACTGAGCGCGGCGCGCAGCTCCCAACTAAAGTGTGAAAGAAGCGGCGGCCGCGGAGCCGCGGCGCGGAACGTCCCCCCGGGAGTGGGCAGGGAGCGAGCGGGAGCCGGCTGGAAGCGAGCGAGGGAGGGGACCGCCGGGGAGGGGCGGGGGGAGGGAGGGGCTCTCCTCGCCCAGTCACTCACTCGAGGGGCGGGGCAGCCGGCCACGCCCCCCGCCGCCGGCCCCTCCCCGCTCCCGGCTCCGCCCGCGGCCGGCCGCCCTCCCCCGGGGAGGGGCTGCCGAGGCCGCCGGGCCGCGGAGCCCCGGGAGGACCGCTCTGGGCGAGCAGGCGCGGGGGCCTGCGGGAGGGAAAGAGGGCGCCGCGGGGCACATATGTGCGCGTCTGTGCGTGTGTGTGTGTGTGTTCGCGCGCGCGCGGGCGTGTGATACGAGCCCGCGGGCCGGCGGGAGGGGAGACCCCGGCGGGAAAGCTGCGTGCGGGCCCTGTCACCCGGGGGGCAGGCGCGGGTGCAGCGGGGCAGCTCCGAAGCCAGAGGGCCCAGCTCTGCGGTAGACCCGGCCAGCCTCTGGGCCCTGCCACGGGGCTGCGCCTGCTGGGAGCGGACGGAGGGAAGGCCGGGCACCCTCGGCGCTCCGCGCGGCCCCTCCCCTCCCCGGCTGGAGGGCCGCAGAGCCGCGGCTCCCGCCCGGCACCAAACCGCCTCCCAGGTACCCTGGAGCGGCGGCGCCTTCCAGCAGAATGAAGGCCGGGCCACCCGGCGGCAGCGGCCCCGCGGGGCAGAGCGCGGTGCGCCTCCGGCCCTGGCGGCAGACTTCGCGCCCTGCTTCCCCTCCCCGCCCTTCCCGGGCTCCGGGCACTAAGGGCGGTGGCCGCGTGGGCTGGGCGCGTCTGGGATGGTTAAGGGTCCAGAAAGATCGCCGTTCAGTTTTCTGTGGGCACTCACAAGAGGCCACCCAATTTACCCCCCTTTGGGAGAAGGTATTTGTTTCCCTCTTCTCGGTCATCTTGAATGTTCCGTGCGAGCACCGAATTGATCTTTCCACACCGATAGCGTTTGGACGTCTTTTGTGCGGCTTCCCCGCGCTTCGCTGCTGCTGCATTGCCCCAGACACGTGAGGAATGCCAGGCCTCCGGAGCGAGGGACCCCCAAGAAAACAAAAGAGGCAAAAGATAAACCCCCCGGGTCTCGCGGATCACACACAGACCGAACCATGTCTCACTTTCCACCAAGATAAAGTTGGAGAATGGAAAAGGACACGTCAGAGCCGTGACAGTGATGAGACACTTAATTGAAAAGCAAATGCATAATTTAGTGTAATGAAATGAGTTAATAACCACCCATCATGGCTGGGAAGTCAGGCTTTTGGGGGGGAAAATGGTTTCCCGGTGCTTTTTCGTTCTCAATTTAAAAGGGTGGTATCACGTTGTTTGTGAAAATCAGCTTGTGTTCTGTTTTTTAAATTACCCATATTCTAGTTCATTTTTCTCCTTGGAACCAGAGCTCTCTGTAATCTGAAGAGGAACGGTTAAACTGGGAAAGGAGGCAAATTAGAATTCCAGTCAGGCACTGCCAGCTACCATCTCTGTGACCCTAGGCAATCGGTTTCATTTCTGTCAGCCTTCCTTTCCTCAGCTGTAAAATGGGATTGATGATACTGGCTCCCACCTCTTAGGCTTGTTGTGAAAGTAAAAGGAAAATAAAATGAGGAGCCAATGTGTGTAAAACACTTTGTGTAATGACACATGGTAAGAGCTCACTGAATGTGAGCTGTTATTTCAGATATATAGTTTAACCCCAAATTTGGTAAATTTTTTTTTTTTTAATCTTTGCATTCCTTCTTAAAGTTGGGGGAGGGATCCATCTGCTGGGTTTATGCAAATGTAGTCAGCCCCTCTTCGGGGTTTTTAGGCCATGCCTAAAGCCTCCTATGCTGAAATGAAAGAAATCTATGATGACTAAGATGTGTGTGCGTTTGTCTATATAAAAGGATCCTTAAGAGTAACAAGCTTTTGTCTCCCTCCCCACCCCACTTCCTTCATGTACACAGACCACCCTGAATAGACCGACTCTGTAAATGTTGACCTGTGTTGAGTTCTATCCCTTCAGGCCTCAGAACGGGGACTGACACTGTAGATCGTTGAGGGCAATGCAATGTCGGTCTCCTTTGACTTGGTCTCCTCAGAGCTAACAGAACGCCACAAAGCAAGCGCGTCGTACATGTATAAATTAAGTACAGCATCTGTCCTATGAGCTTTTAAAGCAAGTTTTAAATTATTCAAAGGAATACATGTTCATTGTAGAAAATTTAGAAATTTAGGAAACTCGGTCAAGTATGAAGAAAAGAAAAATCACTATAGTTCTATCGTTCAGTGAGAAACACTCAATAAGTGCTTCAAGTATATTCATTTTTCCCTTCATTTATTTCATTATTATTTCATCAGCAAACACTTCTTAAGTACCCAGACAATTTCTAGGGCAGAGAACAGGTTGTATGTTGTTAAGGAAGTGTTTGTTTCTCAATAGACACTACTTAGAAGTAACGTTATATATGGTACTGAGGTTCTCAGCATGGTCTGCAAACAGTCCACGGAGGGGATCTGGATCTGTAATTAAACGATAGTGTTGACCAGAAACAATCCAGGTTTTCTAGGGCTGGAAGCACAATTTGGGGAGCCGAATCTTCTAGTTAAGGAAGACAAAAGTACAAAAACCCCTTGGAAGCGTTCTTGTGAAATGAGGGGTCTTGAAACTTAAGCCCCTTTTAGCTTTTTGGTAAACCCTCCTTGGTGCTGTAATTTTTGTAGAAATTAACTGCTTTGATAAACATTGTTTTAATGACAAAAAATCATTCTTCATTTCACTTGGGATCCCAGGAACACCTCTCCTCCATCTCTCCTCCCCACCACATGTGGAAGACACAAAGGGCGGAGACTCTCTCTCTCTCTCTCTCTCTCACACACACACACACGCACACATTTTCTTGATGGTCATGGGAGACACAGTTGGACCATGGGGACTTTGTCAAGGACTGCAGAAGAGAAGACCACAGGAGGAAGGGAAGGGATAGACAGGAGGGGCACTAAGGAGCTGGAGAGGCAGGGATCCAGCACAAACCATACAAATCTGGTCTGCACTAGCTAAATCTACTAGATATGTTATCAGAGAATAATCTCTTTAGCTATTCATAATTATTAAGATAACTCTAAATATATGAAAATAATGAAAAACATGATTATCCCCTCTGGTTACAAGCAATAAAACCATCACCTCTTTGCCCTTCCCACCCCAGCAGAATCTCTGAATTCCGTATCTTCAAACGGCTCCATGATTTTCAAAGAAAAATGATATCCTTTATGTTCAGAAAATTTGCGTTTTTAAACTTCAAAGTTTACTCTTTTTTTAAAGATTTTATTTATTTATTTGACAGACAGAGATCACAAGTAGGCAGAGAGACAGGCAGAGAGAGAGGAGGAAGCAGGCTCCCCGGCAAGCAGAGAGCCTGATGCGGGACTTGATCTGATGACTCTGGGATCATGACCCAAGCCGAAGGCAGAGGCTTTAACCCACTGAGCCACCCAGGTGCCCCCAAAGTCTACTCTTATTATTAATTTTATTCCTAAAGCTTCAACTTATAAAATAGTTGGCACTATAGGATCATTCATAACAAATAAGTTTGAATGTTTTGTTTCTTATTTTTTCTTTTAAGTTGATTGTTAGAATCCACCCCTACCCCCCCCACCCCCGCCCCTGCCGAATTCCTATGCGGAAGCACTAAACCCAGTATAAATGCTATTAGGAGGTAGAACTTTAGGAGATGAGGTCACAAGGGTGGGGTCCTCATGATGAGATTAGCACCCTTAATAAGAAGAGAATACAGAAAGAACTCTTTCCTACCCCCACCCTACCCACAACACAGCCGTCTGGAAATGGAAGCCAGGAAAAGGGCCATCACCAAGAACTTGACTGTGCTGGTAACTTGATCTCATACTTCAGCCTCCAGGACTGTGAGAAATAAACATCTGTAGTTTATTTACTTTTTTAAAAGCTTTTTGTGTGTGTGTGTGTTTCTTAAGTTTTATTTGTTTGTCAGAGAGAGAAAGAGAGAGAGAGCACAAGCAGGCAGAGTGGCAGGCAGAGGCAGAAGGAGAAGCAGGCTCCTCACTGAGCAAGGAGACCCATGCAGGACTCAATCACAGGACCCTGGGATCATGCATGACCTGAGCTGAAGGCAGCTGCTTTGGGACACCCAGGTGTCCCAAACATCTGTAGTTTAAGTCACCCAGTCTGTGGTATTTTGTTAGAGCAGCCCAAGCAAGGACAGGTAGGTTCCCTTCCCTATTGATGATAAAAAGGAACCCAAAGCAAATGCAGGTGGATTGAAAAAAAAGTAGTAAATGGTACAAAAGCCACCTCCTAGAATATCTCAGATTGATCGACATGAATTCATTTTACGTGATTTGTTTTTAAAAGGTACTAATCAGGTTAATTTTTCTGAATGTTAAATGTAGCTTTGGCAGGATTATTCAAAAACAAACGATCCTAAAATAACTACTACAGCCCTGATCGTCAGCTGTGTATTAACCCAGCATCATGTGATTCGTAATGTGTGTGTCCAGTAACTCACTTCATCTTCGCCAACAATGCAATCAGATAAACACTACTGTTCTCATCATTCCCATGCAGATGTGGAAATGGAAACACAGAGGGGTAACGTAACGAGAGCAAGGCCAAGTGGTAAAGCCAAGATTGCTTCTCACTAGTCAGATGCCAGAGCCCACTCTCTATTGGAAATAT